GTGGCGGTGGCGGGAAAGTCGGTTTCGGGGAGAGGAGCGGAGGCGGCGACGGCGGTGGTCGGAGGGATGGCGGCGGTGGCCTACTGCGGGGCGGTCGGGGACTTGGCGGTACCAAGGGAGGGGGTGAGGGGGGTAGTCGTGGCGGCGGCGATGGCAGTGGCGGCGGGGGAGGTGGTGGCGGTGGTGATCTAAAAGGCGGCCTCCGTACTGGCGGCGGAGACGGTGGCGGCGACGTCCGCACCGGCGGCGGCGATGGTGGCGGCGGCCGCCGCCTCCGTGGTGATGGCGGTGAGGGAGGCGGCGGCGGCGGTGGTGGCGGCGGCGGCGGCGGTGGGTACGACCGTGGCAAAGGCTGTGACCGGCGTGGAGGTGGACCTCGGGTGGGAGATCGTACGGATTCTGGCGGAACCGTAACGGTGCCGCCGCTAGCGCCTTGCATTGGTACGGTGTTGTACTGGTCCCGGGTTGTCGTTTCACTGCTCGTTGCTGCCATTCGACCCGCACAATCAGGATCCAGGGAATCCGGCAAGCCGTCGCAATCGTCATCCAAACCGTCGCCGCATGATGCCTCAGTGAACCCCATGCGGCGGCACAGTGTTACCGTCGCGTACACTGCACCGTCCCAACGATTGAATGTGACCACCAGGCCGCTTGCCGAGTCGCGAAACGTCTCCCCAACCTCCGTTTTCCCCAAGACCACTGTACGCGCATACGACGCCGCTGCCGTCCCCGCGTACGAATGTATCAGCACGAAGGGCCTGCCGTTCTGCCACTTGAAGAACGGCAGGTCGTATGGTGGCGTGTTTATACGGGCTGAGATGTAAAACCTTTGGTTTGCGGCCATGCCGGTCAGGGCTACGGCGATGGAGCTGTCACGGTTGCTCATTTGCTGCGGGACAGCCACCGTCATAGGGGCGCCGTAGCGCAGGGAGCTGTCGGTCAGCTCCAGGAAGGGGCGACCCCAGCCCACCTGCAAGGTGCATATACATATCAGTGGCACTTGGTCAATAGCTACAGTGGTTGTAATATCAACACCAGCAGCAGCAACAGCAATAGTAGTGGTATGAGCAGGAGCAGTATCGGTAGTACCAGTAGCAGCAGTGGCAGTAGCAGCAGCAGCAGCAGCAGCAGCAGTAGCACCGGCATTCTCATCACGACCATCATCACCAGCTACCCAGGCAACCCGAACATCGCAGTGGCAGTATGCAGGTGCACGTGTGTACGGCGGGCACAGGGCAGTTTCGGCTCAGACAGAGCCTTAGGCAAACAGACAGCGTCGGTACACCGGGCCCTGCCCACTGTCCTGACTCCTCCATGGCAGGGCACACGGTACTAACATCTAGGTATGGGGCATCTATGCCTATGCTGGTGATAATTAGGATGCGATATTTTGGGATTTCCGGGCTCCAGGGACCCCAGGTAGCTTGCAGGCCACTATGGTGTAATGCCACTATGTTGGGATGCATTCACCCGCACCCACCCACACCCATTATCACCCACCCACACCCACCCACGCCCACCCACCCACACCCGACCCCCCACTACCACCCAACCCCCCACTACCACCCGCTACCACCTACCTGCCAGTTGTGAGGCGCATTGAGGCAACGAACACCCTGGCCACCCGCTCCCCCCATGGGGCATGCGAAGTCGCACTGGTCACCTAGATCGCAGCCTCCGGGCACATTGGCGTGTGCCATGCCCATGTTGTGTCCCGCCTCATGGAACAGCAGCTCAACGTCACCAAAGGCATCCGCTGACCACCAGATAAGGCCAGTACCCCACGTGTTTGCGTCACTGAACTGCCGAATCCAGGGCCCGATGGATGCTGAACCTGCAATGCCGTTGCAGCCTGGGGCCAATCCCGGCAGCTTCGTTAGCATCACCCCCCCAGTAGGAAATAGGTCCAGGCGCAGGCGCAGCGGCAGGAGCGGCAAGGGTAGGAGATTTGGCTTTATCAGCAGGGGCTTTGCTGGGTGCTGCAATATCGGGTGGTGCAGGTACCGGGTTATGACTAGGATTGCAGTACGGATCCAGGAAGCTTACAGGATTTGAACGTCCAGCAGGATCCTGGAAGCCAAGAACATCGTACACTTATCGTACCTGGGAATTTGGACGTAAGTCCCTTGGGAAGCATCATGACCTTGTGGTTGAAGTCCGACGGGGGGGTGTCCGCGGGCATTAAGGAGTCCAGGTAATAGTGCCACTTAAGCATGTTATCGTTGTTGCATGATTTCGTGTCGAAGGAATTGCCGGAGGGAAAGGTAAATGGAAGGTCCAACGAGCCGTAGCACGGAATGTACAAGTTGTCGACGACCACCACGTTTCCCAGAGCTACTTGCCCGTACGAGCACTGCCTGTAGTACCCATCCAACGTCCTATTCTGTATGAGACCGGTGCCGTTACAAAATTTGTAGATATCCTGGTGGGCGAAAAGCGGGTAGCGTAGATACGAAAGGGGCACATGGGGCACAAGCGTGGAACAGAAGCGTAGCGTAACGGCCCATGTAACAAAAAGCCGCCAGAGGTGTCCTACCAAACATCGTCGCCAGGTTTAGAGGTTACTGCGTATACGGCCGCATCGCTATGGTTCCGGAGGATCGCACTACATGTACACGTTGGACATACCAAAAGGCGCGAACAGCTTACATCGTACGAAGCTATCGATGCGTTCTCATAGCCGCAAAATCTTGGGATATAGAAAAGGAAGGTCGGAGTGGTTGGCGCTGTTATTGTGTTCCCAAACAAGACCCGACGATGTTGGTCCTGCTGCGGTGGCGTGCACGAATGAAGAATGCCGTTTTCAGCACTGGAGTAGCTAATAATCACTTGCGAATTTGGAGTTAATCCTTCCACTGTCACGTTGTCGCAGAAGCTCAACTGGTACATTTGACCACCATCGGCGTGCAGGTAAAACTGTGTCACGTCTTGACCGTTCGTTAACGACGACATGATAATGAGAATTTTGCCTGAGAAGATCAGTATGTTCACCCTGTTAGTTGTGCTATCCCCAAGGCGGAAACCGGTAGCGGAAAAAGCTTACCAGCGATTGTACTTTGCCCGTCGTTGTTAGGAGCTTGTGCATAAGTGCTTATAAATACATGTAAAGCCACAACGATGAAGCTCAGCAAGCATGTCGAATGATGGCGGGAAGCCATTCCTGCCCTCGCCCGCCAGCTAAAGCACGCTGGCAACTTCAAGCAGGCAATCACTGTATGACGTTGAAAAAATAGTAGTACTGGCGTGAGTTCACTTGCTGTAGACGAACTGCAGCCGTCGGCACCAATACCTGTCACAACCAAAAAAGCCTTCGTAAGGGCTGTCCACTAGAGCCGACAAAATGTATCTATTGCTTTTTAACTGCTCAAATAGCTTGCGCATCAAGAAGATTACTCTGGGCAAGCGCGCACCTTAGCTTGCGTTGGGACATCAGGGGCAGCAGCAGGTGCAAAGCCAGCAGCACACGAGCAACCCTTTAAGACTTGTGTCCATAGCCTGTAGAATCGCATGTGTCATTGTAGCTATGCTTCTATTCCTTCAGTAAGCATGTACTGTGGCAATTGACAAAGCTGCATACGCAGGCAAAACTTGATAAGATACAACGTAAGCAGTAATAACTATACTATTCTTGTACTTGCTATTTGCGCTCCACTTGCGGTTGTGTGGGCGGATCCTAGTTCTAGCACGGCAGTCGGTCATACATTAGTGGGTTCTGAACTTCCCATGAACTGAAATGGACATAAACGAATGTGTTTTGTATAGGTAAGATACACTGTTCCCAAAATGTAACGGTAATCAGCCCACAGGATCCGGAATCCCCGGGGTCGAACGACTTTAAGGAAAAGTAGACACCTTCAACATGTACTCACAGAAGCAATAATGTTGCGCTGAAGTAGCAATCTTCGCCTTGAGCGATCCCTCATTTGCTTGTCTCGATTTATGATGGTCAGTTCGTTTCATCACGGTTCTGACTCCAACCTCATGCATGTCCAATCTCGTTGAGAAGGAATTGTTAAAGCGCCAAGAACCTAATTTGGCCCCGCTCGCCCGCCGCCTTCGCCAGTACACCAGTAGCCGCCACGATAGCCCAACAGGCGGGACTCGTCAACGGAAGCCAACACGCACATCCCAACACATACATGCAACATAACTGGCTCTCTGTTTCTAACCCTGGTGACATTTTCTTTCTCACCGACTCAACGCGCTGCATTTGTGCAACAGATTAGGCGCACGTTTGTCGGCTGATCATATCCTCTCAAAAACCCCCTGTAGGGTGATTGGCGCTCTACCTAGTAATTCTACCTAGGACATCGGTTACCTGCTGTTATGCCACTCATGGATTACTTGTATGGCTGCTTGCAAGGCGGTATACCTGCCACGTCAAAGCCTGCCTGGCGCTTGGAGCACTCCCTGAATGGGTGCTCCTCAATCGCCGAGCACTTGAATGTGCCTCTGTGCTATGTCATAGGAATTCGGTTGCGTTGCCAGTTGGGGATCCGCCGCTATCCCCCTTAGCTGGTCGCATGGCGCTGGCCGCCCGTTTCTAACAGGATGTTGGCGTCATACGGTGGGGGCGAGGGTCATGCAGGTGCCATCACCCCAAAAAAGCAGTCACAAGCCTTGCAGCAGCACGTGCGCCACGTCTGGCGTGAATCCCGGGGATATTTCAGATCACAGGTGCACGCGGCCCTGTGGGTTGCCTCCTTTCATATCTAGATAAATGATTACGTTACAGTGGAACGGACCGGGAAGCCGATGCTGTCCGCACCCTAGCAGTGTGGGAGGCCCCAGAAGGAAAGGCCCCAGAAACCAAGGCCCCCACCTTTGTTGACCTATGTGAGCCCCGTACCCGGGAAACTGCACAACCAGAGGCACTCACCTGCCCTGCATTTCTGAAGGAGGATGGCTTGCGATTGGCTGGGAGCCAGGATTAAGGTCACAGAGGTGAACTTAACCCGGCATGGGCACCCCTCTTAGCAGCCTACCTGCCACCAAGGCCCCCAACCCCCTGGGCCAAGGGCTCTGGAAGACCTGGCTGGGAGTGGGAGGCTCGAGACGTGTTTCAGCAGACCAGCCAATTAATCTTATATCAGCCAGTCTAATTTTAGACACCGCCTTACGTTTTCATGTACTAAGCACAATGTAGGTACTGGTCAGCATTATTTGTCCAAAAGTCGTCGTTTTTCTAACAAAGTTGTTGTGGCCTCTGCACGCTCCCCGCCACACAGCGTGATTTTACGCGTGCACATAACGGGCAGGTGGGCAACTGGCTTTGGCTCTCGCCGTAATTCATGCCCTGGCGTACCTTACCACAGATCTGCTTACGGCAGGACAAATGTGTTCTGGTGTTCGCACGCGCAAGCGCTCTGGGAGCTACTGACTAAACATGTTGTTGCCTGATGCCATTGTACACGGCTTGCGCTCAAAAAAGCCGCAAATGGTAAGTTTTGATGTTGCCGGTATGGGAGATTGCGCACCAAAATTATCCCATTATTATCGCCGGTGAAATGCGCGCATAAAACCCTTTCGGCAGCTACCGCAGCAGTGGTGTGTGTGTGGTTGTTACAGTGGGCTCCAGACTCCCGAAGAGCAGTGGTGATGGACCCGGACAGGCTGCTGTACTGGGCAAGCCTAATCAATGGAGTTCGTGCAGCGTGGCAGCCAGGCCGAAAAAAGGGGGTGTTAGAGGCGACTGAACGTGGCATGCAAGTCCCCTTGGAGTACCGAGGGGTCCCGCATTGCGGATGGCTAGCTCATGAGAGCTCCATAACCTCAGAACAGCTCCATAGCTCCATAGGTCGTATGCAGTTATGAATATTATTGTTTGGCGGATATGAAAACCCCAGGGACATGGCTGCGGCTGTAGCAGTGGCTAAAATGGCTTCGGCCCCGTCGGCTGCAGCTTGCGTACGAAGATCTGCATTCGATCCGCCCATGCGTCATATCCAGTGTTTCTAGAAGTGGTTACAGTGACCAAGCGGTTACTGAGAAAATAATTCCCTTCCAGAAGGTGGTCACTAGGAAATGTTTTGAGTCACCTGCCAGTAACCAGGTGGTCGCCAGGAAATTGGGCCACAGAACCCCCCGGTAGTAGTGACCACAAAATCTTTCTGCGTATAGCACATACGGTAACACACACACACATACCCATCTTAATAAACAATCAACATATAGGCGTCGTCTTGGCTGTTCAAAGCTGTGAATGAGCGTTGTGAAGTTGGATCTTCGGATGCATGGTTCTAGTGTGCTCCTGTAACAGGAGTCCTGTTCAGCATACTCGCTGGGAAAAAAATGTAAAGCGGTTCCCAAGGAAAACCCCCACAGTAACCACTTGGTCACTATAAAATCACCATGGTGAAAAAGTTTTAAAAACACTGGTTATATCCCTCCATCGCCTTCACATGCCGTCTTGGCCCATCAGCGTCATGATTGCGACGTTTAAGAAGTGAAGTAAGCAATAAATGTGGTATGCAGAAGCATGTTATTGCTGTTTCGGCAGTTTCGACACGATCCGACAGCATCGACCTTTAACGTTTCAACCGACTTTTACGACTTGCAGCTCCCAGGAACATCAGGGCCCATGTACGGGAAATTGGTTTCACGTATTATTGTGAAGTCTTACTATTACCTAAGGTTTGTAAACCGTTTGCACCCAATTGGAACTCGCTCTGAGGAACACCCCTCCGACCGCCAAGAAAGACCCAGACAGACCAAATAAAGGCATGGCGGAGAAACAACCCGCATCGACCACCTTCGCGTAATGAGCCCGTTAGGTCAGTTCCTTTCTGGACATGTCGATCCTTGATAATTTACCTCATTATTTCTGGCGGGCCAACCACCTTCCCCCATTCGTGGTTCCTTGGAGGGTTGGTTTTAGTCGTCTGCTCCACAGCGCATGGATCCTAAGGAATCAGCAATTTGCACCGCATACCATGGCATCGTGCGACGGGCTCGGATTCGGAATACCTGCGAATTATAAAAAGGACAAGGCATAAGCGCTCGCCCTAGGCTCCGGCTGCTCCGGGACAGCGAGGTCCCCTCGGAGGGCTTTTTTTTGTTCAGTCTTATCAGCTGTATTGGCTTATGAAGGCACCTTTCCGGAGGCTTATAGCGTACGGCGCATCGCATTTTTGCCTGCAATGTGGCCAATCGTTTGTGGCCCGTATACGTAGCCTCGTTTTGTAGGCAGTCCAGACCAGTGTGGGTATGCATTCAGTATAATCTGCCGCGTTTAACCCCTAACAGGTGTCGCCGAGTTGTTTGTTATCTCCCTGAGCGCGTGAGGCGCTGCCGCAAATGCAGTGAATATTGCATTCGCGGCAGCGCCTCAATATTCACGACAGAGTGTAGGGCACAAAGGCGCAGGAAGGCATAGGATTTGAGGCTTACTAGGAGCAGATTGTTCTCGAACGTCAACCCGGGCCTGGGCTGCACCTGCGTGAAGGACGACGGTCTCAGTTCAAAATGCAGCAGCTGTTGATCGAAGGGTACGCTCATTAGGCATGCTCGCGCAATGTGAAACGACATACAACGGCTTAATGTTTGATGGGCTGTGTATATTGGTTTATGCTGCTTGGGGTTGATGTCCTTGTGTTTCCGTGTTCGCCGATGGCTTACGAATGCGAAAGTACCAAGGAGTATGGGTCATCATGAAATCAAGAATCTATATAAGATTTAAGTGTTGTAATTATATCACCCAAGTTTCAGCTCATAACTTGGGCGCCGGCCCTATGTCGCCGAGATGGCTGCTCGCCCATCACTAATCGTGGTCTCCTACCCATTGCAGACCCAGTAGTCATGTTATACGTGTATATGAAATGCTGCGGATGTTCCCACCATGTTGGATGGATGGATGGATGGATGTTACAAGCTTCAGCGAGCTCGTACGGCCCAAACGAACCCGGAGGCTCATGACCGCTTTGACAG